GCCCCTTCCAGGCACACCTCCCTGCTTCCTACCCCAGCTGCCATCTGATGAAGCAGGGGTGAGGGGCAGCCATCCCTTTCCCTTTTCTGCCAGGGTTTACACCTGCCCAGGGATGTTCCCCTAGTAAGGGGCTGTTTGGGGACTGGAAGCCAGAGCCCCTGGTAGCTCTGAAAGTCCAACCTCTCATAGAGAAGATAACAGCTTGGGGACTTTCCAAGTTTGAAAACCTCATCACATCTTGAGAGCTTCATGCTTGGGTAGAGTGGGGAATTCCCCAGGAGGGCTTGAAGGGTCCTAAGCTCTCTTTTTAACCCTGACTGTAGTCTGGCCTTCCCTGACTGTCTAACTTCCCTGACTCTGTCTGGCAATATAATGGTCTCATTCCTCCCTCCTGAACCAGCCCATGTGCCAAGATGCCAGCTCTCCACTCCACAGCCCAGGCCAGGGGCTACAGATAATAGGGTGCCCCGCTGTCAGGAGTGCCCACTCCTACCTATGTGGCCCAGCCGCCTCCTCTCAGAGACAACCTCTCCATGAAGCTTACTTCCACCTCCACCTGAGGCTGTATCTCCCCTGGAAACCAGTTCACAATGTGGAGCTGGCTTCTGGGAACCTTTGAGGTTTTCCTTCTACAGGTTCCCAGAAACTCAGATTTCCATTGAGCGAGACACCTTACCCATACCACCTGCCTCCACCCACCCTCATCAGTCTGGCTTTCTCGGAGGTCAAACTAAGGTTAAAGTGTCCTGTATTGTCTTGGTTCTACATGGACTCCAACACAATACTGGTCATAACAATGGCTGACATTATACATGTCCGATTATAACAATGGCTGACCTTTGGATGAAGCTAGACAAACACCAGAGCAGAATACAAAGAGTGTTTGCAAACCTCAACAATTAGGTCTCTGTTGTCCAACCATGTGGAAATGGAACGCATTCTGCCCCTTCACACGTGCTGAGACAGTTCCTGGCCCTCATACCACTTGTTTCTAGCATCCATCAGAGACAAATAGAGGTTCTCAGGCTGAAATGGTACCCACAGGAGCCCCACTGTTAAGGACTAGACAAATGGCTTCCACCTTGGTATTCTCTTTCTATCTGTGCTGGCTGTTAAACACTGATTCCCAACCCCCATGCCCTGGCAAACCCTTTGCTGTCTGTCACAGAATGTAATTGTTCTGCTGCTTCACATGCATGGGTCATATATTTGTCTCTTTGTCATTGGCTAATGTCACTTAGCACAATACCCCCAAATCCACATTGTGACATGTGTCCGAATTTCTCCCCCTTGCTAAGACTGGCTAGCATCCGGAGCATGGATTGACTGTGTTCATCTGTTGTGCAGTTGGGGTGTGCTGCTGTGAACATAGGCACAGGTCTCTGTTGGAGTCCTTGCCTCCACTTGTTTTGGAAGAAACCACTGGTCATGTGTATGGTAACCACTAAGCTTATTTAAGACATCCAGGGGATGTCTACAGCCATCATTCTCATTGCCCCCAGCCGAAGGCAGGCCCGAACTTCTCTTTTCTCCTCATGAAAGCACTTGGTGTGGTTGGTGATCTCTTCCCAGTAAGCAGGGACACATTCACCTGGGAGCTTTCTGTCTGGATTCTCTCAGCAGACTCTCCTCCCTGGCTTTCCCCCCTCAGCATCTCCATTACCTCTCCTACCCCACAGTGAGCTGGGAAGTTAGGAAATCTCTTCTCTTGCAGAGCCTTGTAATTACTGTTTAGTTAGCTAATCCCACCCTGGGGGCTTCGTCTTCTACCTGAAGAAACAGGCCGATTCTCCTAAGAGGCTTCTCGTTTGCCTCAAAACCACCAGTGTCCACAGGCAGCCGAGGAGTCTGAGCCGACAGCACTGGCTCTTTCAGAAAGGCTGCCTCCACTACCTCAGGTCTCTGGAGACCCTACAGTGCCCATAAGCCCCTGACCAGTGGCACCCTTTTACCAGGCGCTGTGCCCTGACTGTGGGAATCACTGGAACAGCAAACCACAGCTCTGAATCCAGCCTGTGCCTGCCTCCCCAGAGGTAGGGCAGGCCACCCTGGGGGTGGGGGTGGGGAAATAAATACATCCTACACTGAGCTTTAGAGGACAGTATTTGACCTGTGCTCAGTTGAGTTCCCTAGGTTGGAGTCTCAGGACCAGGGCACCAGCCTAGGTACTCCTGTGGGTCTCTTCCTGGCCGGAAGTGAAGCACGTGGCCACTGTCAGCCACTGCCTTAGGGTTACTATGCACAGTGTCTTGTCTGGTCTGGAGACTTCACCATCTCCTTCCTGAAGAAGTGTGGGTGGATATTCAGGAAGTGTTAGTGACTGGTTCAGCGAGCAGGTGTGGGGGGGGGCGCCTTGCAACAGGGTCTCCCAGAAAAGTCACCTCCAGTCCCTAGGAAAGCCACTGTTTGACCCAGAGGGATCTGAGTGCCACCATTCCCAGGAGGGCTGGGCCTGAGTTAGTTTCCTTGTCTGTAAGACATACATGTGATGCCTCTGGCCTGGGGTCAGGGAAGAGGCAGGAGCCAGCACAGATACAGTGCAGGGAGCCAGGGTTGGGGTACAGAGCTTGTCATTCTCGTTATCCACAGTGATCTGTGTCCTTTAGGCATTGCTAAGGAAAGTTCATTTAAAAAGCCTCTCAGCCATGTGAACCTGGAGAGCATGATGGGAAATGAAATAAGCCAGTCACACAAGCACAAACACTGTGGGAGCCTACTCGTGGTGACAGAGCAGGAGGGTGCTCTCTAGAACCATCGGGTCATTGACACAGTCGGTGGAGTGGGGTTGGGTTGTCAGGGGCTGGAGGAAGGGGTTGAGAATGTTTTTTTAGTGAACACATCTTTTGGTTGAGAACTATAGGACGATTCGGGCAGCAGTGGTTACACCAGCAATCATGTCTTTGACACTCCTGGACTGTGTGCTTCAAAATGATCAAGATGATACATTTTATGTTCTATAGATTTTACATTTTTTTTCAAATTTTAGAGTCTTACCTTTTCACATCCAAGAAAAAGGTTTATTATTGATGTGCTTTGTGTGTGTGTGAGGAAGAGAGAGAACATTGAATGCTCACTAGTGAAGTCACTAACATTCTCCATGGCATCGGGCTGTATTCCAAACCAATGGAGAGAAGGAGAATATCTGCTTTCATTTGCATAACGACGGGAGCATCCCTCCCGAATCTCAGGGCTCCTTTGTTTCCAGGCACCTGGAGAGCTAAGACTGAGGATGGAAAAGGTACTGAAACAATAGCCTTGCGGGGCGTAGGCAGAGTGAATGGCAAGATGGTATTGGGTCTCAGGTCAAGTAGTAACAGCTGGTGCCCTGTCTTAGTGACAAAGCTTTGTTAAAGGAACCCTGCCGCCCACAAAGTGAGATCACAGCTGCATTCTGTCTCTGCCTAGTCACAACTGTGAAGCTGAAGGGCACCTTGAAGTCCTCGGAATTCCAGTATCCTCACTTGAAAAATATAGACCTCCACTGCAGGTGTCTGGGGGGACTGTGAAGTCCACAGGCTCTGGGGTATAGATGTTGTTTTATTTTTTTCCAATTTATTTATTCATTTATTTTGTGTACAGTGTTCTACCTGTGTGCACACTAGAAGAGGGCACCAGATCTCATTACAGATAGTTGTGAGCAGCCATGTGGTCGCTGGGAATTGAACTCAGGACCTTTGGAAGAGCAGACAGTGCTCTTAACCCCTGAGCCGTCTCTCCAGCCCATAGATGGGTTTTGAAAAGCGCTGCTGAAAGAGGTTCTCAGTACATCCTAATAAGAAACAGACGTGCTAAAAACCATCAGAAACCCTCCCCAGGCTCTCCCAGCTTTGAGCAGCCCTATACCTTAGGATCCACTCTACTAAGAGCAGAATTGAGTTGTCAGACTCATGGGTACCCACAGTCTGAGCCCCTACCCCTGCTTTACCACCAAGGGCCTTTTGACAGTTGACTTCAACTTTCCCATCTGTGACTTGTGCCAAGCTAAGAATTTTACTCCATAGGCTATCATGAGGATTAACTCTAGTGTGTTAGCTATGCCTGGTTCATAGTAAATATCAGCTCATTTTTATGTTGACTCTTAGGAAACTTTGTTAAGATATGCATCCATATGTCATTGTAAGATGAATGAAGAAAGAGGCCGGGCGGTGGTGGCGCACGCCTTTAATCCCAGCACTCGGGAGGCAGAGGCAGGCAGATCTCTGTGAGTTCAAGGCTGGGCTGGACCGATAGCCTCCAAAACAATACAGAGAAACCCTGTCTCATAAAAACAAACAAAACAAAAAAAAAAGATGAATGAAGAAAGAAAAAATAGACTGCAGAGTGAGGGAGAGTCACATGACCACTGCTAGGGCCCTACAACCCAGCAGATGGCCCACACCCATGTGTGTATGGACAGCACTGACTGGACTCAGAGTTATAAATTTCTTTTTTAAAGGAAGTCAAGAATTTGAAAGTTGGAGTGGGAAGGCATGTGGGAAAATTGGAGCATGGTAGTAGTAGGTGGATATGATGAAAATACAATATAAAGTAAGAATTTCCAAATAATAGGCATGTTATGCCAGCCCACACATGTGACCTAATCGAACTGTCCCAGTAGAAAGCCCTCATTGTCCTGCCCATCACATCCCTCCTTCCCACCCAGAAGCTATGCTTCCGAATCTGATGACTGTTGCTCTTCACAGTCTCACTCCACCTGCACATCTACTGAACACCCAAGAATGGGCATGAGCTAGAGGTGACCTTAAGCCAGGACTGGCCTGGAGAAGGATTTAGACATAGTTGCTAGCCTGGCAGAAAGCTTCATTGAGCGATGGCACCTTCCTGTGCCACCGGAGTGTCCTTTCTCCCCTCTGACCTAGGAAATATGCCTGCTGCCAAATGGACCTGTCCATGATCCATGACATCAGTTAGGATTCCTATTAATGGGTGTCCTCAGCAGAGCTCACCGAGCTACAGTCCCCACATACCCGGCTAACTCCCATCTGGCCTTTCCCCTGCAGGCAGAGATGCGGCTCCAGGACCAGCAGCTGGCCAGGCAGCTCATGCGCCTCCGTGGAGACATCAACAAGCTGAAGATTGAGCAGACCTGCCGCCTGCACCGGAGGATGCTCAACGATGCTGCCTATGAGCTGGAGGAGCGAGATGAGCTGTCTGACCTCTTTTGCGAGTCCCCTCTGGCATCCTCCTTCAGTCTTTCCACACCACTCAAGCTCATTGGTGTCACCAAAATGAACATCAACTCCAGAAGGTTCTCTCTCTGCTGAGAGGCTTTGGGATGGAAGAGGGACCAGAGCCAAGGGTGAGACAGAGAGGGGGCTCAAACCAAGTTACCCAAAGTGGGTCTCCCTGGGACCATGCTGGGGAATGGAAGGCCCCAGGACCTGGTGGTCATATACCAGGGGCTTCAGCTTTGCATACCTGGCTCTTCATGTTCAATACCCAAAGAGTCTGCAGATGCTATATAAGACAGAGGTCTCAGCAGGATCCCCATGGCCTGCCTTCCTCTGTGGCCTACATTCCTGTGTCCTAGAATCACTGGTGCTATGGTGTTGGATCACAAAGGTGACCCCCCTCCAAGCTTGTTCCTATAGAAAGCTGTCCTCTGGAGAAGCTGGGAAGATTAGATATGTAAGACACACTCATCTCTCATGTACTGTTACTAACCTCTTAGTTCTAGCTCTAATTGCCCCAAGTAGGTGACTCAGCAGCCTGGGCAGGGATGTGCTAGGACAGGAAAACCTAAAGGGATAACAAGATGGTACATGGGGACACAGGCTTCTCTTTGACGGCCACCAGCATCCCTGGGAAGGAGCTCTGCCCTGATGCTTTGAACTTCAGCCTTGGTGCTACAAGGCCATGCTATTTCCAGCTTGCTCTGTTTTGACATATGATGCATTCACCTTGTGTAGCTTTGGAAGAGGAACCCAGAGGCCCTGCTGTCTCCCCTAGCTCCAGCTATAACCACGTTGGTTATTTTGCTGCCACTCACATCTCCTGGAGAATACCTACCAGACCACTGGTGATTAAATGAGGCAGACAGGACACAGATTTCCCCCAAGTGAATTCTACTGTAGGGGACATGACAGGGGCATTTCTGGTGGGACTTGATGATGTCACCACATCACCTTATCCTCATCACCAAAGACCCCAGAGAGTCCAGAAGCCCATCCTGAGCCTCTCTCAAGACTGTGCCTGACCAAAACAATGAATTTTAATTGACCATGGCTGTTAACAAATGTGTTGCTAACTCGTTAATACCCGTCTGGTTCTTGTCCAAATGGAGAGCCAGTTGAGTAAGCCACACAGAGTTTGGGGTTTAGTTTTAAGTGTTTTTTCCTTAGCAGCAAGCTTGTGATCAGCATATTGTTAAGCTGATTGGTTCAGGGAAGATCTAGTACAGCACATCTGGCCACGTGTAATCCTGTTAACACAACTTTCTCAGGCATAGGGTGTGTCTGGTGAAGCCTGTTCATTAGCAGAGGGGCAAAGTGAAGCCAGGAAATAGAATGGCTTCCCTCAAGTAACCTGGCTGCTTAGTGGCAGTAAAATATTAAGGTGTGAAATTATTGTGAGTCAGGCCTAGATGGATCTCCTGTCAGTGAACTTCAACTCCAAAAGATGGTCCTGATTTTCTGCCAAATCCTTAAGTTGCCAACTTCTCTCTCCCTCCCTTTCAGGCTCCACCTCTTCTCCCCACTTTGCAATTTGAAGTATTGGGAGAGGGAGAGAAGCATGATGCCTGGATGGTGGGCCCTTGGCACTTACCACCTGTCACAGTCCTGTAGTCTACACCGACTGTTCTCTGTATATATTGTTTCCTTTCCCTGGTAATCCCCATGGGCTGTGTTCATACAAGCCACAGCACACCCAGGGAGAGAGTGGAATGGGAAGGTATAACTGACTGGTCATGTATGACTGAATGGTCTCTTCCTTGTGATTTCAAAGAGCCAGGAAGTTTGTGGGTTTTTTGTTTGTTTGTTTGTTTTACCATAATCAAGTGAGTTTCGTTCCAAAGATAGCTCAACATATACAAATCAACAGATGTAACATAGTACACAAATTAAGCATACTATAAATCACATGATAATCTAAACAGATGCAGAAAATACCTTGACAAAGTTCAATGTCTCTTCATGACAAATATCCCAAGGATACTATGAAAAAAGGAAGCTATACCAGCACAACAAAGGATATATTAATCTATGACCAATGTATATTAAATGGGGGATTTAGAGGTACAAAAGATCCTTGATAGACAGAGCGAGAGCTTTACTGATTTCAAACTGTATCAAATGCACATATGAACAAAAAAGCACAGCCCACATACCAACAGCAATGATTTAACACCTTGACTGAGCTATCCATTTTAAGTTACACTTGATCACAAGGACGAGCAAGCCTCTGTGACAGTTCATCCTGTTCCGTAGAAGCAACACTTATACCAGCAGACCTGTCTGACCCTGTGGAGGCTTGCTGTTGAGATAAAGGCTAGTTTCATCTGCCATTTCCTGAAGCAGCATATCCACTTGGTTCTGTGGTGAAGCATCCAGTGTTTCAAACTGATGTTCAAATTTGTCCATTAAGGCTGAAACCTTTCCAAGATTCCTACATCTCAATGTAGCATCCATAGATTTAACTACACCTGCCATGGATTTTGTCACCTTGCCCATTGTTACTGCAATTTGAACTCGGCTGCCATATCATCAACCCTATCCCTCATTTTCAAGAAATTGATTGCTTGGTTTTGGTTTTTGTTACAGGTTGCATTTTCAGCATGCATTCTTGCAACTTCTGGATTGCCTTTCTGAATGGCCATTTTTGTCTTGGCCTTTTCAGCTTTTCCTTTATCACATTTCTTGGCATTCCTATTCAGTTCTTTCGCAGCAATCTGCAAGTTAAATAAGTGTTTCTCCATGTTCAACATGATCTCATGAGTTCATGGCCGGGGAAGTGAGGGAAGGGGTTGCTAACACTAGGAACAGGACAGGGGTGGCCGCAGGTAATGGGTCACCACCGGTCTCTAGAGCACATGGAAAGCGGTAGTTGTACCCAGCTTCTGGAGTTTCTAGCCCACTTCCTCATGTTTCTTTTTTAAAAGGTAGAACCAGGTAGCCAAGATTTCTTAAAAGCCCTAAAGTCCAGAGGCCTTGACCCCAGTCCCTTCCTTAGAGACTACACAAAACACTGCCAGGTCCCAAGAGGCCTCATCACCTCCTGCCTCCAGTCACTCACACACCACGTCATAGAAACACATCCCATATTCTAAAAACAATGCCAAGCTGGTTGTAAGAAATCAATCATTAGCCATGCATGGTAGTGCACATCTTTAATCCCAGCACTCAGGAGGTGGAGGAAGGAGGAGCAGGAATTAGAAGACTAACCTATGATACATAGTCAGTTCTCCAGGCCAGCCTGGGCTACCTGAGACCATGTCTCAAAAAGATAAAAAAGGAAAAAGACATCAGTCATTACAGAAGATGACAGACACCCTTAGCTTAGAGCAAAGCAAAGTGGTCAAATTAGATGTGGTCAGTAACTAAATATGTGGTTGAGCAGTCTGTGCTCAGCTAACCCAGCATCATCTTCCTATTTTTGTTCTCTGAGGGACTTGGTCCCAGGCATGGGTTTAAATGAGTTAGATGTCTCAGCTTAAGCTGTTCATCTCAAGTTCATCCTAAGAGAATCTTATTCTGTGATGAGAGGGAAGGTGGGGAGTGGGGGAGGGGAAGCCACTTTGTTTTCTTACATGCAGTTAGTATCTGTTAGCTCCCTGCCTTTCATGGTGAGCTCAAGCCATTAACTGTTCATTCTGCTTGAAGAATCCATGCAGAAATGTCTGTAGGTCAGTGGCAATATTAGCAGCCTTTCATAGTGTTTCCTGACTTACCATACTATACAGTCCTGTTTGCGATTTCATCATTAACCATCTCCATGCCCCCTCAACTCCCTGTGAGACACAAAATATCCACTGTGCTGCCACAAGGTCATGTCCAATGCCTCTGTGGGCTTCGTAGCAATCACAGAGCCCTAGAGAGCCTGGGCAGGCCTGGCTATAACCTGGCATCATCCAAGATCTACCCCTGTAGCAATACCAAGTGCTATTACATAACCAACAGATAATTTACAGTTTTATTTTTATGATTATTTGTTTCTATATTACTGTTAGAAAAAAATGAAATAAAAGTATTTCAAAAGAAGATATCCAAATAGAGACATGTATTTCCTTTTTGCTTATCATGGTTACAGCATATACAAGACCAGGACCATAATTGGATAGATGGATGGATGAATGGATGGATAGATGGATGGATGGTTTGAACAATGAGATGAAGATTTAGGGGCAGCGGAGGGACAGAGGCACTCACAGGTGCTGACCAGACTAAGGAATGTGAATGTCATCTCTCAGAAGTGATGTAGACCTTTGTTCAGAAGCCCAGCTGCAGCTCCACTATGCTGGGCCAACCTGAGTGTGCTCTGGGGGCTTTGTTCCCAGCTCAACCTGCAGCCTTCACATTCCAGACCCTGAGTCTCACTGGCCACTGGCCATCTGGGTACTGGGGAATATGGATTGACTCCACAACTTTCCAGCTTTTCAATGGAGGTGGAGGATTCCCCTCCTGTTCTTTTTCCACATCAGAACCCTGTTATCTGTGGTGCAGTTTCCTCCCTCCCTCCCTCCCTCCTTCCCTCCCTCCTTCCCTCCTTCCCTCCCTCCTTCCCTCCCTCCCTCCCTCCCTCCCTCCCTCCCTCTCACTCCTGGTCCTTTAGCTGTCCATGTGGAGGTAAGCTGTGCCACTTCTCACACTTATTTGGTCAAAAAAAAAAAAAAAGACCTAGGGCCAAACATGACCTCAGAGGGGTGGTGAAGTACACAAGTAACCACCTCACAGCCATGAATATCCAAGTAGTTACAGACGGGCCCTCAGCCCGGGAGCAGACCCAGAATCTTCCATCAGCTGCAGCCACAAAGACTCTTTAGTGAGAGGATTTGATGTGTGCTATGTCAGCCCCTGGCAGGCAGCAGGACAATGTGTTTGAGTGTGGGAAGAAAAGATAGGCAGCTCCAGCTAGTGTTAACTTCTCCGACGAGATTTAGTGTGTGTAACATCGCTAGGGCAGCTCACTACATGATACGCGAATCGGGAGGACACACAAACCTTTTGGCTGAAAGACACAAGCATGCTGCCAGCCTTTGTCTGCAGATGTGGTGCTGGGTTGTGCCTGCTGTGGTCCTTGGCTGTGCTTGATGGGACAGGAGCCAAGACTCTGTTCTTCTGGGAGATGGCTCAGGCACATTCTGTTTGGCCGCAGCAGGAGGCGCCTGCATGCCTGTCCGTCTCCCAGGAAAAGGCAGAGCCCGGCTCTTCTACTCAGAGCTAAGCTCCACAGGCAGCCCTCTCCAGAAGCCCCAGAAAACCCAAGATAGGGGGGACAGGTGGGGGAGGGGAGGCCAAAGAACAGGAGCAAGAAAATGCCAAAGGCAGGAGGGAGGGGGCGTTCTGATGATGCCAACTGACCCCAAGTTCAGACCACGAACTAGGCTTTCGTGTTTCCTGTGCCATCTCCCCCTCCCTCCTGTAAACAACGTTCTGGTCAATTCTGAGAGGAGGGCCTAGAGGCCTCAGCTTCCGAGTTTGAGGTTCAAGGGGCAGTTCTGAATAGCAGATCCAGACGTCTAGCAGGAGACCCCAGGCCTGTGGGTTCCACCAGTCAGAGAGAGAGGCTTCTCTGACACCGCTGTCCCTGTGAAGCAGCACCCCAGCTTCAGTCATTGACACCCTCAGCCCCTACCCATCCCCTTAACCCAGCCTTCAGCAGGTCATTTCCTCCTACCCTGCTCTTCAGGGGGCCCAATGGGGCTCACAGCATCTCCTCCCATCCTCTGGTCTCCCTGATCACAGCTACCCTGATCTCCACACCTGCCGGTCTCAGGGAGAAGAAGCTGAGGCCACCACCATAAAAATGTGCCAGGGCATCCAGGGACACAAATCGGTTTCTTTCAAGGAAATGACGTTTCTGTTTAAAAGAGAATGACTACTTTTATTTCTAGAAGACAGTGACTGTCTCTGAGGCTTGGAGTTACAGCGTGTAAAACTTCAGTCTTACATTGATTCCACTGGTTTGCTGGGACACAGCCATTATAACCATGTATGCTGTCGGCACCAGTGGATATATAAAGAGGCAGTTGGGGTATAACTCATAATCATTACCAGATTGAGAACCGACACTATTGGCCTATTAACAGTCAACCGGCGTGGAGCCAGTGATGAGGTGGAGTCTCCTGGCTTCTTCCCTAGCTCGTCCCTCTGGCTTCCCACCTCCACGTGTTTCTTGCTCAAACAGCAGCAGAGAGAGAAGGTCTGAGGAGACAAATCCACCAACAAATGGCTTTCAGACTGTGGGTCTGCTACCCATCTCAGTTAGGAAAGCCTAAGGTGCCCTCTGCTGGAGAAACGAGAGATATATTTGTATGTCCATTTTGCCAGTTTGGCAACGCCAATAGCTTTACTGGTTTCCTTAGCATCTTTGATTATTAGAACTTACTGTTTGTTGGAATAACCTATATTTTGATACTGTTCTACATGGACCAAGTATGAAATCTCCAACTAAAGTAATATGTCAAGATTAAAAATCTACAGTGTGTGTGTGTGTGTGTGTGTGTAGTGTGTTGGTGGTGTGTGTGTGTGTGTAGTGTGTTGGTGGTGTGTGTGTGTGTAGTGTGTGTGTGTGTAGTGTGTTGGTGGTGTGTGTGTAGTGTGTTGGTGGTGTGTGTGTGTGTAGTGTGTTGGTGGTGTGTGTGTGTGTGTGTGTGTGTGTGTGTGTGTGTGTATGTGTGTAGGGGTGGGCATCTACTCTAAAAGGATGGATGCAAACCTTTTTGTCTGCTGTTCACCTGCTTGCCTCTCGCCAAAAAACCAGCACTCTGTTGGAGTTTTCTTATGCTACAAGTTCCTCTGAGGGCCTGAGCTCAAATACCTAGCACCCAGACACACAAATGTCCTGAAGCATTCTAACACACACACACACACCCCACCACCACCACCACCACCACCAACAACAACAACAGAAACTCCATGTAAGTCACCTGAGTCAGGGGTACAGACAACTCCTTGATAATCTGCCTCAACCTATTAAGTAGGGAGATTGACTCTGGTACCCAAAACCCAAGTTCCAGGCAACCTTGAGATAAGTCAGACAGCTGAATGAAGCTGGAGAAAGTGATGTCAATCACTTTCTCAGCTCGTGGTAGAGATACCTAGTTACCTGGAGTGTGCATTGATGCTCTTCAAAACTGCAAAACTTTGGGCACATGTCCCATCCTGCCCATGGTGACAGTGGGGCAGTGGTACCTGGCATGCTGATCCAAGCCAGCTTGGACTGCAGTCACTTCTATTTAGTTTTTCTTTATGTTCCCCTCCTCTCCCCCAGATTACACTATTCAGGGTCACTGGGACCACTTTCATGGAGCAATTCACAAAACTGAAAGATCTTTGTGTGCTTTGGTGACCTGTAGTGTTTCCAGAACTCATTCCCATCCCAGACACCAGCACTTGCCCAATGCACTGTACGCTCAGCTCTGGCAACACACACCAGCCCAGTGGTGCTGATGCTGGTGGGAGTCTTGTCTTCTGGACAGACAGACAGACAGACTTAGAAAAGGATAAACTACCTCAAGGACATGGAACTTCTACCAGATTTGTTTGTAGCAAGTTTGGTGACATCCTTGACGGCTAATTTAGCAGCGGTCCCTTCAATTTCAACAATTAAAACAGTGTAAATGAAGAAAAATGAGGCCCAGCTGGATTCAGGCATGGTAGAAACTAAATGGAAACATGAGCTGTCTTGAAACAAATATACAAGAGGAATTCTCTTTTTGGGTTGGGCTTTTAAAAAATACATTTTATGGGGAAAGGAACTGGGGAGAGAGGACGAAGGGATGGGAAACTGTGATTGGAATGGCAAAAAATTAACATAAAATTGGCATTACAAATGGTTGTGAGTCACTGTGTGGGTGCTAAGAATCGAACACAGGTCCCATGGAAGAGCAGCTAGTGCTCTTAACCACTAATCTATTTCTCCAGCCCCTATTTTATTTAATTTTACGTGTATAAGTGTTTTGCCTGTATGTATGCAGGTGCCCCATGTGCATATCTGGTGCCCTTGGAGGTCAGAAGGGGACATCCGATGTGATGATCAGAGGAGTGCTTTGAAGTGTTAGGAGGGCTGGGAAGGAGGTGGCTCACTGTGTAAAAGTGCCTGCTGTCAAGAGCTATAGCCTGAGTTTGGCCCTGGCACTCAAATGGTGGATGGGGAGAACCAGTTCCTGTAAATTGTCTCTGATGCCCACTTGTGCTCCTTTGCGTGTGGACACACAGACACTCTGTCTCCCCCAAAGAAAGGATGTTGTGAAGATAACAAGACAGTGAAAGCAGGGTATCGAGCCACCTCCCCTCTATACTGAGTCAAGGAAAGTTTGTGGTGTGACTTCTGCGGTACAAAATGACACGAAATGCACAAACCCACGGGGAGAGGAGAGATATGAATCTAAGTTTTGACTTGCTTAAATGTGCATTTTTATTTTACTTGTAAAATGTTTTATTTCCTACTGGGGGACATACCATGGCACAGGTGTGGAGGTTACAGGACAATTTATGGAGTTCTCTCTTGCCAACATGTGGGTCCTGGGAGCTGAACTTGGGTCACCAGGCTCTGCAGGAGGGAAGTGCATTTACCCTCGGCCATCTCTCCAGCCCAGATATGTATCTTTACAATTATGGAAAGGTGCATAAAAGACTACAGTTTACCTAGGGAGGTGTGGGAACTGGGCAGATGGAAGGTCAAGGCATGTGTGACTTGTCACAGTGTCCTTTAGTTGGTGCTTTATTTCTATATAAACGTTTCCCAGAGATTCAAAGCTGCTTATGGAAAAGCAGAAATTACCCCATTCAAAGGTTGCATAACGACCACAGGAACCCTCTCTTTCTGATAGGGTTTGCTCTGCCCTGTCACTGGCCAGCATGAACCACCAGGGCAAACCATGCAAGCATTTCTTCCCACTGAACTGGCTCTCCCTGGAGGAACTCCCTCTTGTTCTTGGATACAGCTATACTGGAGCCATAACTCCTGGGTGACCTGTCTGTCCAGCTCCTTATCTAGATGGAAGAGGTAAAGGCACCTCCCTCAAGCCTCTCCGTGT